AGTCATTTACAAAAGTAATAACAATTATATCACACCAACAACTACATTTCTACTGTTATAAGCAACATGTTGGACCTTTTTATCACAATATAAAACATTCTACACCAAGTGGTTTTAACACCTAAAGACATTTAACAGTTCATTAGATAAACAAAATAACAAGTTAAATCTTATAAAATTAAAATTCATTATCATCAACTTTTCTAAGCTTATCATATTTTTCACTTCCTCATTCAGTCTACTTTTAACCTCAACTTCAGGAACTTTGTCAGAAAGCAAGTTTACAACAGGGCTTATAAAGTTTAAGCCTATTATTTTCTCTAATATTTAACTTTGTAGTTTGGATCATATAACTTTACCATTCAAACAGTTTATGATGTAAAAATTGCCCAAACCCTCCATCAATTTTGAACACCTGAACAAATCCTCCTTTAATTCTATTACACTACAGATAAAACTATAAACCTCTCTTCATAGCTTGTAAGCATCCAATTTATTAATTAGTTTCTTTTCAAACACTTTATCAAATATTTTTCAACAATGTAATATAAATTCATTATAATATAATGGTGTGGCAAACGTACTTATAATCATATATAAAGCCATAAGTCTATACATTTTAGCATTAAAGTTTTAAACTTAAGTAGGCATAACTTGCTATCCTGACTGACAACAATAAGCCAACGAACTACACCAATCTACAACCTAGTGTGTCTACATAAGTACATTATTTTTTATCTTCCTCCAGCATCCAGGAGTCTATCCATATAATGTTAATGGTTCTCACCTGGGCTTCGTCTGCTGCTTCGGTTAAAGGAGTCTGGGTGTTGGCTGCAACCCATGCTTCTGCAAACGTTTCCATTGCAGACTGAAAGTCCATCATCCGACCCCAACCTCTTAATCTCTAATAATGTTTACATTTCAGGTATCACATGTATGTTATAACACCATATTCCTCACCACATATCCATCTCAACTGCTGAATGACAGACCTTCGACAAATTGGCGAATGTATGCTCGACTTAAAAAATGAGTTCGACTGTCAAATAAAAAGATTGAGTCAACAGTATTAAAAAAACACATTAAAATGATCAGAATTGTTTAGTATATTTATTTTAAATAATAATTGATGAAAATAAGAATACATATATTTGTTTTAAAAAATGAAATCCGTCGTAGGAATACATAAGCTAGAATACTCTCGACAAACAGCTCTAATTAGATGGTGTTTGAGGCTATAGTACAAAAAAATGATGTATTAGAAGAAGGTGGACGACATGCTAGTACTGGTTCTGTAAATATTATTATATTAGTAGTTTAGTATGGGCAGTGAAATGAGTGGTTATATTAATCTAGAAAACATTTATACTTTAGTTAATATATTATACGGACATCAAAGAACTATTCGGCCTTACATCAACCTTTGGGAAAAGTAATTAATTTAAACCTATCTTTTATTTTTCACTCACTCTATTTCCCTTAGACTTACAAGTTACAGTTACACTCCCATTGTTGGCTTATCCTTATGCTGTGGCAACTGCCATGAGAATAGCAGTATCCAACTGATGAAACAGTATATTGTATTCATTATAAGTAATATAGATTGAACATTAAATTTAATTAGTTATGCTTATTATTATATTTTTAATCCTGATCTATGTGGGAAGCTTACTTCAATCAAAAGTTAATATTGATTATTAAAAGTTTTTAAAAATCTAAGAACACCAAGTCCATACTCTTTCCATTATCAAGGTAATACTTAATGTCTTAAAAAACATTAGTTGATTAGTAATGGAAGATTTCACTTTAGTGAATCAGTGGTGATTTTATTTCACAATATTCTATTTCAGTAGATGATTTTGCAAAACCTTTTTTTTTATCAAATAAATGAAGTGAGGTTGAGAAGTGAGGATGTGGCTACAATCAATAAAGTGGGTGAACATTTGAGAAGTGAGGATGTGGCTATGATCAATAAAGTGGGTGAACATTTGAGAAGTGAGGATGTGGCTACGATCAATAAAGTGGGTGAACATTTGGGAAGTGAGGATGTGGCTACGATCAATAAAATGGGTGAACATTTGGGAAGTGAGGATGTGGCTACAATCAATAAAGTGGGTGAACAGTTGAGAAGTGAGGATGTGGCTACAATCAATAAAGTGGGGGAACATTTGTGAAGTAAGGATGTGGCTACAATAAATGAAGTGGGGGAACATTTGACCACTGCATAATTAGTTTTGGTGTTTTATTTGACCATTGTATAATTAATGTGATGTTTTGCTATGTGTTGAAATAAAAATAAATAAATATTTAGTTCCTAATTTTCTAAAAACAAATTTTGAGGTTATGAAACAAGATTTATCATTGATGAATTAGGATAATGAGTTAAAAGGTGAAATGACATAGATTTCAAAAATCAGTTGCTTTTAATTCAAGATCGGCATGATGATGGTCCTAAGAAAAAAGAAAACAGAAGAAAAATGAAGTATAAACCTAACTGGCTTATCATAGATGTAAAGGAGAAGATCCAGAATAAATGACACAAGTACTTTAAATGTCAGATTGGATGGAATATTTACATACTACAGGAAAGCTAAGTATTTGGTTCAAAAAAGGAAGTAGGAAACCCAAAAGGGCTTATGAGAAACAACTGGCTCATAATGTTAAAATTAATAGCAAGGATTCTTTTTAAGGTAAGCAAAATGTTAAAATGGGGATTGGGCTCTTAAAAGATGTTGATGGCAAGATGTTGAGTTTAATTTGAAGATGGCTGAACATTGAAATGTTATCTTCTCTTCAGTTTTAATAAGAGATGATGCAAGCAACATTCCTAACTGTGAGCATCTTATGGGGATATTGAAATTGACCTGAACCATGTAGATATTAGTCCCTTGGCAAGTAAAAAAAAAAAAAAATAAAGGCACCAACACTAGACATTTTTCCCCACAGTTTTAAAGAAGGTTACAGATTATATACCTAAGCCTATCTTGTTTTTCATCTTTGGATGGTCAATAAACAGCGGACAATTGCCAGAGGATTGGGAAATTGCTAATGTTTCTTCTATTTTTAAAGGGAGTGATACAGAGTTACCCTGAACATTTGGGAAGTGAGGATGTGGCTACCCCACTTTATTGATCGTAGCCACATCCTCACTTCTCAAATGTTCACCCACTTTATTGATCATAGCTACATCCTCACTTCTCAACTGTTCACCCACTTTATTGATCATAGCCACATCCTCACTTCTCAACTGTTCACCCACTTTATTGACCATAGCCACATCCTCACTTCTCAAATGTGCTCATCCTTAGTTCTTGTCCTTCCTCAGAAATATCTTGTGTTAATAAAGCATTCACCTGCATACATGTATAATGTATTATTGAAGCTACTTTTTGATGCTTCAGGCATTAAATACAGTTTTAAAGTGTAAGTAAGTTACATACATCGCAACTGTATCCAAAATATTATCAATTAAAAATATGTGTAATTGAAAATGTACATTCTACTTCTCTAAATGTAAGTCTACTTTTCACTTTCTCCATAAGGTACCATTTGGAAACCAAAATAGATTATTTTTTAATAATTTAGGTATTTTTGTGAGAAATATCATTTGTTTGTTTGTTGGATTTCATGCAAAGTTACTCGAGAGCAATCTGCACTAGTTTTCTCTAATTTTTCAGGGATAGAATAGAGGGAAGGCAATTAGTTAACAACACCATCACTAACTTTCGGGTTACTCTTTTACCAACAAATTGTGAGATTGACCCTCACATTATAATGTCCCCATGGCTGAAAGGGTGAGCATGTTTGATAATGGGACTCAAAACATTTAACCTACAGATTGTGAGGCAAATGTCATAACTAACAAACCATGCCAGGCCAAGAAGTAAAATAAACATTAACAACCCATTACTTTTAACCCACAGATTGTGAGGCAAATGTCATAACCAACAGACCATGCCAGACCAAGAAGTAAAATAAACCTTAACAACCCATTAGAACTTTTTATTTTAAAAAACTAAAGTAAAAATATATTCTTGTTAGAATACAGAGCTATGTATCTGAACTGTGGTTAGAAAAATTTAGTAGAATATGCATGCATTGATTTAGACCGATGATAAGAAAAGTCTAAAAGAATATAATTGAAAACTTCTTATTTGACTTCATTAAATATAAATGTTATAAATAAATAAACTTAGTATTCCGAAAATTGTTTAATTTCAAAATCTACATTGAAGGGAGGTCCAGTTCAATCTACACTTTGATCAATGTGTGTTATTGGGTTATACTAGTTTTGTTGACCAATGACACTTTTTTTCTTCACTTCACCTATCCAGTGTGTAGGTCTTTCTCATAGTGAATACAAAGCACGTTCACACCAATAATACATTTGATACTTTTCACTATGATATAAGTCCAGCTTATCTCTTTTTGGTTAACTTGTGTTCAGGGTTACTGATAAGGAGTGGAATTCTCCTAAACTAGTATAAACCAATAAGACAAGTTGATCAAAGTGTACATTGAACTGGATCTCCTTTGAACTTTGAGATTAAACAATTTACTGAATACTAAGTTTATTTATTATATCTGCTGCTGTATAATGTGAACAACTGAATAGCGGCCGATGACACTTTCTTCACTTCAACTATCCAGTGTATAGTTTTTCTCGTAGTGGCTACAAAACATGTTCGAAAGATCTTATAACATCTGCTTGTGTGTCAGTAAAACATATTGCTCAATATCTTGTCAAAACACCTTATGTTTGATACAGTCAAAACACCTTATGTTTGATACAGCCAATACACTTATGTTTGATACAGCCAATACACCTTACGTTTGATACAGCCAATATACCTTATGTTTGATACAGCCAATATACCTTATGTTTGATACAGCCAATACACCTTATGTTTGATACAGCCAATACACCTTACGTTTGATACAGCCAATACACCTTACGTTTGATACAGCCAATATACCTTACGTTTGATACAGCCAATATACCTTACGTTTGATACAGCCAATACACCTTATGTTTGATACAGCCAATACACCTTACGTTTGATACAGCCAATATACCTTACATTTGATACAGCTAATACACCTTACGTTTGATACAGCCAATACACCTTATGTTTGATACAGCCTTACATACAACTTAAAGTTTATGAAGATAATAGGGATGATAATATCTTTACAATCCTGTATTATGTACTTAGATGTTTAGACTTTGGTAATATATGTTTTTTTCAATCCTGTGTTATGTAATTAGATGTTTTCACTTGGGTAATGTTTTTTCAACCTTGTAGTATACAGGGTGTCCCAGAAGTCTGGACCCATAGGGAAAATATACATTATATTGTTAAAGTTAAACACATTTCTAATGTCAGTTGTACATAGTTGAGGGAAAAAAATACTCTGATGTGACAGTATACCAAGAATTGATAAGTGTATCTGTTAATGGCATGCAATTTGAATAGTAAATAAATGAACAATCAATTGTGTATTTTGCCATATGGGTCCAGACTTCTGGGACACCCTGTACACATAGATGTTTAGTACTTGGTAACTTGTTTCAATCCTGTATTATGTAATTAGATGTTTGGTAACTTTTTTTCAATCCTGTATTATGTAATTATATGTTTGTTAACTTTTTTCAATACTGTATTATGTAATTAGATGTTTGGTAACTTTTTTTCAATCCTGTATTATGTAATTATATGTTTGTTAACTTTTTTCAATCCTGTATTATGTAATTAGATGTTTGGTAACTTTTTTTCAATCCTGTATTATGTAATTAGATGTTAGGCCTTGGGTAATATTTTTTGAACCCTTTATTATGTATATATCTTGTTTGCTAAGAGTTACAATTTGTTAAGTAAAACTTGTATCACTTTAACATTTCTGTACTTGTTTGCTAAACAAAAAAGTTATTGTAATTACCTAAAACTAATGGAATCTAATATTTCAGTGTGTAATTAAAGTTTATTTTGAATCAAAGATAGCTTTTTCTATTTTGATCAAACTTTGAAAAGAAAGTAGTTACTGAAATCATTAGAGAGTTTGTGACACTAACATAAAACATTATGACACTAAAGGCAGAAGTTGTACGATAAATAAGACTTACGGCTAGTTTTGGTGCTTTGTCTAACCATTAATTTTCTACTAGCTAATCTTAATGACTTGAAATGCTCAAAATACAGGAACTAGGGGCCATTAATTTGAATCTAGGTAATCTTAATGAGTTAAAAAGTCAGCAGTGTAAAGAGGAGATATTGATTATTTAAAGTTGAATCTTTTCACCAATATATGTGTGTATAAACTGTACATTTCTTGATGATAGCACAACATTGTCATTTCCTCCTCCCCCCTTACTCAATATCTAGTTTCTCTCCCCCCAACATTGAAATATTAAGTAATTCGGTAATCTGTTCATAATGACTGGTGGCTGTTCATTGATAAGGGCTGAATTGATAAGCCTTCATTCATCAGCCATTAATGTGTCTGCATCCCAGAAGAAACGTGAAAGTGGAACAAACTTTTTGTAAACCTACTGATCATCTTTTTGTTTTTCTTCTTAACCAATCACTGCAACTTTCTGAACACAGTCTAAAACACATTTATTGCAAGCATCTGCACATTTTGTTTCTGTTGAATAGGTGAGCCAGAGTTTGAAATATTTTATCAATTTTTGCTTCTCAAATACACTTTTTTTCACAGGCTAAGAGTGAAAATTTAGTGTTGCAGTTTATTGAGGGTGAAGTATAATTATTTGAATTTTCTTGACAATCTTGGGGCTCTAGCATTGTTCAAAGAATTGAAAGATACCTGTTCATGATTATGCATGTTGTGTTCCTGAGGCTGATAAAGGTTGGACAAAAGTTACTGAAAGATTCTGTTTCAAGACATGGTTAATATCACTGAAATGTGTTTAAAAAGTGGGTAATAAAAATGTTAAAGAATTTCCTGTATGATGGTGTATATTTTTCTATGGTATGTAAGAATGTTTATAGGTAATTCTTTACATGAAAGATAACCAATGTTTATTTCCTGTAGAATTCAGCTACTTTTCATTTTTATAATATTTTTTTTTCTGACAAGATC